CTCTAAGTTCTCCACAAGGTATTTTCCATGAACAAGAGTTTAATATTTAATGTAATGTCATATTTATTATAAAAAAGTATAATTATTTTTTACATACCAGTCCTTATGACCATTATTTTTCAATTTATTTACAAACAATTTAACCTTATCCATAAAAGAATTACTATTATTACAAAATGTTAAAAATCTTTTCAATTGGAAGATAATAATTCCTTTTAATGATACAGACGGAACAAAACTGTTAATGGTGAGTAAACCAAGGATGGGAAAATCAAATTCCCTCTTTTGTCAAAAATAGTCAATTGTACTCCGCCTTCTACAAAATTAACATCTACATCTAAGTAATTGCACAATTATCACAACTATCGCTTCTTTGTATTACAAGTTCCGTTGAGTATATTAAGTTTGGATCAAAATTTAGGTTATTGATTGAGATTAAATGTAATGAAAAGTATAGATATATAAATTAGGGTTTAAAACCTGTTTCAAAAATGAATTTTCATAGAAGAACAGGTATAAGTTGGCCATGTTTGAAGAAAAATTAGCACCCATTGGAATACCCACTGTTTATACACTTCTTCATTAAAAGTAATATAATTATTATAGATATAAAAATCAAATATGTTTTTACAATGACATTTGGTGAATTAATATATTGGAATAATTATTTCTGTATCTATAAATTTATCAAGTAGGTCATTAAAGACCCTGATTAAATCTTTCACATCTATTTTAGTAATATAAGGTAGTAAAATCATAAGTTATAACGGAGTTGGCTGTTTGTAAAGAGTTTAAATTAATTGAAAAAGACTCCCAAGCAAATCAAATACAGAGTGGGGGTCAAGACAGACTTATAGAACTTGATCAACCAATTAAACAAAATGCCTCCCAAGGGAGAAGGGAGGTTGCAGCTGTGGTTGCTTTTCTGGACTGAGCAAGAAGAATCCAGTGGATGAACCTGAGAAAGTAATAAGCAGATGAAAAACTCAGAATGTGGAGAAAAGCATTCAAAACATCAACTTTAGTCATTTATGGCCCAGGAGTGAACACCAACCTCAGACTGATAAAACCAAACTTCTTGAACCAAGGAATGAGAAAAAATTGATTTAAGGATGAAAAATCTACGAAAGGTCAATCTCCTGTACTTTTTTGGAACAACAAAAAGACAGAATAAAAACCCCAAAAGGGGCTGAGGACTTGTTCCATGGCATTCATAAGCTGCACAGAAAACAGCCTCCTCTTGGTGCTGAAGGCACATGAGATCTGAAGGGGTAGAAAGATAACAAGATAAGTACAAAGAGGAGGTTGAGCATGAAAAGACAGGGAAGATCTATGGAAAAGCACCCAACTATAGTCTGCAAAGAGAGTCCAGACGCATGAAAAGAGGGAGAGCTGAGCTCTTACCAGACCAGAGTCAAAAAGTAACTACAAAATCTAGTCATAGCTTTGACCTGCGATGGCCAGTCCTCCAAGAGAGGAGACATCAAAAAGGAGCAAGAGGACAATGAACAGGAAGGGGCAATTAAACAGATTCCTGAAGATGAGAATCATGTTGGGATCATTGGAACAAGAAAATTTGAAAACCAAAGTAATCAGGAAAGACTGCTGATGAGCAGCCTCATATCAAATTCCCAAAGTGTAAAAAACACCTCCAAACACTTTGTCTTAAAGGAAGGGTGCTAGATGGAAGTCCCTATGATAAAACTGAGGGATGCAAACACCTGAAAGTAAGGCATCCCAAATAAGCAACTCCAAAAACAAAGAAACCAAATTAAATGGGCCACAATAGAAGAAAAAAAATTGAGAACAAGGTGGGAAGTGGATAAAGCTGACAGAGTAATGATGTAAAGTCACGAAAAGAAGGTGAAACATGGTCAGACAGTGAAGAAGTTGAGTAAGTAAGGAATGAAGTCAAGTTGATGGAGAATGAGAAATTAAAAAAAAAGAAAAATTGGAGATCTCCAAGCTGAAAGAAAACACTTAATTGATGGAGACTCATGCATCAAAGTAATCCAAAATTCAACAAAAACAACTGAAGAAAGTATACACATAAGAAACACACCTGTATAATTCAAGCAGTGAAGGACAAAGATGGTATTTCCTGATTCTTGTCAGTAAGAAGGAACTCATCATAAGATGGGAAGGTCAGGTGAAAATCCTGGATCCGAGATCAAAATGGAATCAACCACCTTTTAAACAATGGTGGTAATACCACTTACTGTTAGAGTTCCTCCAGTCACCGTTACAGTTTTGGATAACTTCTCTTGAATTGTTGGGAAATGTAAGAACCTCAGGTGATGTCAAAAACATGTAAACATGAATACATAACCTAGAAGATCCATGAAACCAACTTATTTTTTAAAGAAATATAAATTGGTCTGCCACATTGGTGGGGCATAGGCTTAGATTACTGGCCTAATGGTGACCCTGAAAAGTAAATAATGAAACCTATAGACTGGGTTAAAACAACGAGAAATAGAAATTTTATCACAAACAATAGAACATGTGTCCAAAAAAATTACAAACTTGATTAACACTATTGCTATGACCCCAAGTTGACTTTTATAGTTTCCATGCTATAACTTCTAATTTATTTTGTGTATCTTCCAGAAATGTTGCAAGCTTTCAGTAAGCATTAAATCTTTTGTAGGCAAAAAAAATCATAATTTTTTTTGGAAGTTTTTCACTAAAAATTTCTCCATGAATATATGGAGTCAGTGTTGACTGCTCGACCAACTTCTTAACCATTTTGTACTCATTATAGTTTCCATACTATAACTTTTAATACAGTATGTATTTCTTCATCATAGAATTTAGCAGAATTTTAGTATACAAGTTTCTTGTACACAAAAAATAAGACTTTTTAATGAAGTATTTTTACTAAAGGTTTGCCTGTGAACATATAGTATTTTTTTTATACTAGTCCAAGTGCAAAGTAAGTTTCATGTTAAGATTAAAAATACTTTTCTTCATCTGAAAACTATCAAAATTCCATTTGTGTAATTTCTAAAACCTCAAATTTGTTATGTTTTATTTCAGTAAAACTTTACAAACATTATCTGTTATTTTCTCTGACCTAACTTTATACAAGGTAACCACCATAAAATATAGGAAATAAATCTAAATTATCATTTTTTTTCTTTCTAGAATGACTTTCAAATAGTAACATGAAACTACATCTGTTTATCCTAAATAACTTAAAACTTGTAACACTATACATCTGTTCCTACTGAAACTTTGTTTTATTGCCCTTTGAACCATGTCTAACTAAGAATCCCACCACACAAATTGTAAATCACTTGAACATGAAGCTCACATTACCCCCTATCAAATCAAGTTACACACTCACAATTTTTATTATTATTACTTTTCTTTACTTTACCTAATCTTATCTAACCTAAAACGTTTCTAATTTTTACATGTTAGTTACTTTTATAATAATGAATAAAGAATACACATGAAAAACAAGAAATATAGTAATAAACTGGATCTTCATTTCTTTCTTTTTTTGCTATCAACTGTTGATGAAACTTAACCCTACTTTTGATTTTTTTATACCAATGGTACTAGTGCACTAAATAATTTTTATTTAATTAAATAATGCACCAAAGAACACAGAATAATAACATGTATAATGCAGACAATATTCTATAACTATCATAATTTTTATGGTTTTTCTATCTATGCAATAAGAGCCACTAAAAATTCAGATAACCACGTCAATGTGTTTCCCATGGGAATAAAATTTGAACCGGAAGCAAAATAGAAAAGTCTCTGCACAGAAAACAATATAATACATCATTTTATAGATTAAAACTTTGGATTTTCATTGGTTATAAATAATACTGTATATAACATTAAAAAAGTATTGGCAATTTTTTAAAATACAGGATGTGACAGGTGGCATAGCAAGGGAGTCTGATTTTCTAGTTTATTGCTCTGTAAGCAAATACGATTGAAGGCTATAAAAATTGTGCTTTGCCTGAGTAATATGAATATTATAACAAGTAATTTATGTTATATTCTGTACTTCTTGGAGGGATGGTAAATAAATTAGAGAAGAGGGAAGACCTAAATAACAAACATCACAATTCTCATACTAGGGGAAATTGATTTTTTGTGTTATTGTCTTGTAAAATTAAGAACTTAATTTATATAACACTAAAATTTCGATTATTAACTATGATTTGATGCCAAGTATATTTGAAAATAAAGTAGTTTAATTAAATTTTGAATGTATCTCAGTAAAACCTTGTGACAAGCATAGAAAAGAATGCTAGTATGGAAGGAGTTAAAAGACAAATCAAACTAAAGATAATTTGAATCCAAGTTGTAACTGGAAAGTTTAAAATTTGGTATATGTGCTCTTGTAATCTAGAAAGTTAGAGCAAGACTACACTATAAAGCACAACAAAGGTTTAAAGTAGTAAGTGCAGAAATGACATTAAATTCTAAGGAAAAAGCAAAGCCTTTGTTCAAATGCTAATGTTTAAGGGGATTACTACACATGTTACTCTCCTATTGGTGGAGAGTGATAGTCTAATGATGATTACATCACAGGCTGGTATAGTACATGTTATTACATGTAGAGGTGAAAGTTTCATTCAAAGCTTGTGGTGTGCTCAGCAGTAACACCAAGTAACAGATCTTAGTTATGCAAAGAGGTAAATAAACATTTGTGAACTTAAGTTTTTATTATTCACACTCAAGGCTTTGGAAAAATACTTCAAAGTATCCTTGTAATTTCTAGTTAACATGTTTTAAGTACTAAAATGTATGTTAATAAAAATACCTGTTTCAGAAAAGCACTGACAGGTAGTAATCCATTATTTCCTAGAAGTGCTTTATTCTGATTGGCTGCTACTAAAAAAGCAACACCTAAAAAAAGAAAATGAATGTACTAAACATTTGAAACAGCATCATATTTTGTTGTTGCTGCTGCAATATTTTAAATCTAAAATTTTAAATCACAAAAAAATTGTAAATTACCAGTTTTCAAAAGATTAGCCAAAATTATTAAAAAGCTAAATATTCTGGGATGTCCTTTTTAGATCCTGAATGTAGTAAAGCATTGTTTGATACATCCAAAATGGTATGATACATACCAGAAAGTTATGTGGGTAAGCCAGTCCCCAAGTATTTTCTTCTTAACTTGTGTACTGAGTGTTAATAGTATGTTTATTGTTTTGGCCAGAATATTTAGCTTTTTAATAATTTTGGCTAATCTTTTGCAAACTAGTAGTTTAAAATTTTTTGTGATTTAAAATTTTAGATTTAAAATATTGCAGCAGCAACAACCAAATATGATGCTGTTTTAAATGTTTAGTATATTCATTTTTATGTTTATTGTTTTGCAACACTTCCTTAGTCACAGTAGATGAGGAACTATGACTACAGAATCCACAACCCCACACTCACAACACTGTTCACAAAAGCTCATTTCTTTTCCACATGCAGTACCTTTACATGAAGGTCTTACAAATTCTTACAATAAAATTATTATAATTATATTACAAAATATTTTCTAAACTCAAAATTACAAAGCTTTCTCTGATTCCCCTAGTTAAAGACTTAGAAGCAAGCTTAATGAAGTGATGGAACATTTTACAAAACTTATCGGTGCTTCCATTCACTAACACCAATGCTTACCCCTGTAATGGTTAGTGATCTCAGAAGGATGCACAATCTAACAAGGTATTTCTCAACAATGCCAAAAAATTAACAATTACTTTATTAGTTTTGGTAATATTTTTGTTCAATTTAGTATTCTAAGCAAACTCAGACACCATATAGCACTGCCTTTACCCAATATGAAACTATCAACTTAAAACCACCTACTTCTTACAAAAACAAGTCTATTACTTTATAATTTTTGAATGTTATAATTTTCTTATACTGAAAATGTATTTCCAATAGGTACTTACCTTTACTTACATAAACAGCTATTCTCATTCAGTGCTGCCCTCTATATACAAAATAATGTTTTACACATGCCTCAAGCCTTTTATCTCCCCTTAATTGGAATTGACTGATTCCAATGCATCTCTCATGCAACAACCCTCCACCAATAAGAGTGCAACATACTCTCATGATGCATACGACTCCAATTCTACTGAACCATCACTTCAAGTTTTAGCAGAAGATGGAAGCAACAGTTTTCAGTGGGGAGAAAGTGTGAGAGGAGGTAAGTACCTCTCAGAAATACATTTTCAGCATAGGAAAATTATAACTTCCAATACAGTACATTACCTCCTCTGATATAAACAGCTAGAATTCAACATTGAATAGGTGCCTTCTTTTAGATCTTTTCCCTGTCCTAGGTTTCCATTTCATTGTTCTTAATGTCCACCTATTATCAGAATTTCTTGCTACATGCCCAGCCCACTTGCATTCAGTTTATAGAATGAACCTTACTGCATCTAATATATTTGTTGTTTTTCTTATTCTGTCATTTCTCTATCTGTCTTGTAGTGTTATATGAAGTATTTTTCTTTCCAAAGCTCTTTGTGTGGTTTCTATCTCTTTCCTTATCTCTTTTGTTAGTGCCCATGTTTGGCAGCTATATGTTAAGGTTGGTAGTACACACTATCCATGATCTTTTTCTTAAAGTAATGAGGATATCTTGATTCTCTAGAATTTCTTTATACATTCCAAAACATTGCCATGTTGCCTTTATTCTTACCAAAATTTCTTCCCTTGTTGTGTTTTCCATTTTGAGGGTTTGTCCTAAATATTTGTACTCTGACACTTTCTCTAGTTCTTCGTTCTCAATTTGGATGGTATCTTTGTCACTATAGTTGGTCATATATTTGATTTTCCCTTATGTATTTTTAATCCTGCTTTCTTGCTAGCTACTGGCATTCAAGCGGTTTAATAGGGCTTCCATCTTTTTTGTGGACTTTGTAAAGAAAGCTACATCATCTGCAAACCTCAGATCTATTAATACCTCATCTATTTTTATACCTTCATTCTCTAGCTCAGTTTGTCAGAATACTTCTTGCAAAGTTGCTGAAAACAGTTTCGGATATATTGGTTAACCCTGACTCACCTCTCTCTTTATCTTTATCACTGATGATACCTCTTTATCAAGATGTATTTTTGTTGTTGTATCTATGTATATATCTCTTAAGTGGGATACAAATATAGAAGAAAGGTAATGAAGGAATACTTAAATGAATACTTTCACCAATTACAGGTGCAGGGTCAATTGAAAAATAGTTGTTGGTGGAAGTCTGTGTGCTACTGAAGACAAGACAGCCAGATGGTGGAGATAGTTTAATGTGAGACAAATGTGTGTGGGGTAGTGTGGAGAGAAAAAAAGTTAAGAGAAGAGACTCAAGAGAGCATACAATCATCCACCTTCAGAGCAGCATATACTGATGTACAAGTTGGTGGATCTAACCCATAATGGAGTAAGGAAAGAGGAACCAGGTAGAGGATGAGTCCCAAATACAAAATGATAATGAGGGGAACTACAAGGAGGAAAAGGGTGACAAAACATTGGGCAGCCTGAACAAGACAAATGTTTCTACCTGGATTAAAAGTAACACTGAAAAGAGTAATAGAAGGAGAGAATATGGGAGGAAAGGAGAGGCCATCATACCCAGCCATAGAATATGAAGGAGAGATCAGGCAAAATGGAGGAGAAGGAAAATGTAGTAATGAGAAAGTGGGAGGAAACAAAAGCAAATATATGTGAACAACAGCAGTCAATGGCAAGTAGGAAGAGCAATAACATCTGCTAAAGGTTTAATAGAAACCTGGTTAAGAATATGGAGAACCACATTTACAATCCAGTCAAACAAGAAGTAGGAAGGGGCAGTGGATAAGAAAGGAATGAATGATGATAGAAAAGAGCCAGAGAATAATTTATTCTGGGACATCGGGCAAAGGAGAAGGTGGAAAAAAGGCCACCCGAAAACCCAAGATAGAAGAGACATACAGTTCATAGAAAAACTATCCCATGAAAGAAGACGAATATTTTACAATGCAATGAAGTCAAGAAAAATGGGGACACTGAGACCAAGGTGAAAAGTATGTTTCATACAAAGTGATAGAAGGGTGACAGAAGTGGGACAAAGAGATAGCAACATGACCAGGGAAGTGGACCAGACAAATCCATGTGCAAGGAGAAGGGGATGACATATCCCAAGGAAAGAGTAGTGTGTGAGAGTGGATCAGAAACGATGGAAACTTGGGAAAGGGAAGACAGGGCCGAGATGCGAGGAATTAGAGTAATAGAAACAAGATTTAAATCACCTGTGAGGGGTATCCAAAGGGACCTCCTAGGGGGTTGTCCCAAAGTAGAAGCAGCTAAGGGATGAAATGTAGAGGAGGACATGCATAATAAAAAAGATGGGATCAATGCAGACTAAGAGGATAGACAGCCAGGGCTGAGGAATGAGATCACATGAGACCAGAATAGAGAAAGTTCCAGAATGAGAGGTGTGGCAAGGCAACAGAAGGAGGAGGAATAATGCAAAAGTAGAACAACGAATGAATAGTGGGTGAAGAATCAACCCATGGGTAGGACACAGTCATGTCAACATGAAAACTTGCAACAATGTGCAGTACCCCCAATCTATGTTTGAACATTATCTTCCATATTTATATGTTAAGGATTAAAGAATGAAAATTGAACATCATCTACTACAAGTACACAATGTAGAGAAAGTAGCCACAATTAAACATTAATTATATGTAACATGGCATGGAGTTAGCAATTATGTCCAAGCCCTACTTTCTACTGGTACTTGAAGGAGTAATTACCCAGATCTACTCATTATATTCTATGTGGACATGTTAAGGTGTATTAAATTAGGACAAAACATTATCTACATTGTATACAAACTACGAATCAATGAACAATAATAAAATATTATCATTGAAGTGCAACATGTTATGGAGTAAACGATTATGTATAAATCCTATCTTCTAATGGTACATAAAGAAGTAAATAACCAGATCTAATCATTATAATCTATGTGTACATGCTAAGAAGTAATGAACCATAACAAAATATTATCATCAATATGTGAATTGCCAAGAAGTAATGAACCATAACAAAATATTATCATCAATATGTGAATTGCCAAGAAGTAATGAACAAGACTAAACATTATCTTAAATAAGAACATGGTAAGAAGTATAAACCTGTGACAAAACTTCAATCATTAAGTGGACATGTTAAGGAGTAATGAACAAAGTCTATACATCACCATCAAAAATGTTTCAAGTTAAAAAAATATTAATGATATAGAAATATCTCCTAGGTGTATATGTTAAGGTGTAATGAAACAGAACTAAACATGAACATCTAAGTATACTTGCTAAAGATGAAGGAACTAGACTGAAGTATTATCTACCATGTATACATATTAAGATATAAATAACATGACAGCTAAACATTAGTTACTAAGTGTACATGTTAAGGAGTAATGAATTATGATGAAACATTACCTCCAAATGACATAAGGAGTAAGAAACTATGACTAAACAACATATTCTGTGTTATATGTTATGTGTTCCAAAGTTCTTTGGCTGAGTTCAATAGAAACAAGAAATAAATTTTGCCTACCCCTGATGGGTGCCAGCCCACCTTCTATACTTAGGTTTGAGATTTACAAGTCATATGTATTTGATGCACATGTTTATAACCATTAACAATAAGTTATTTTACACTATAATCTCTCAACAGTTATTTTAATATTGGCCACAAGTACTTATTTTGTGCATATGTTTATAACTATTAAATAGAGCTCATTTTACACTATAATCTCCCAAAGGATATTTTAATATTGACACACAGTTTTTATTATCAGTTACTGCTGGCAGTAATTGTTGGTTGCTTTATCCATGATAGCACTTATTGCTGTTTC